GGTTCGAATCCCCCTCTCCCCAGTCCTTTTGCTTAAAGATATTTTGTTATGATTTCATATATATACGTGCACTGATCACTCTAAGATCAAGGCACGCGCCTTGGCTGGTTGGCAGTAATTTTGAGCTGTACCCAAGAGGTCTTGGGTTCAACACCCATAAGGACCATCTCCTTTCTTTTTATGCGCCCTAGTCTTTCCATTGGGTATGAAATGCTAACATTACCCCATACTCTTGGCCCATTTCAACTCTCTTTATCTTTTAACTGTTTCAGAAATACTAATACACCATGTGTTCTTTTATTCTAAGTTTATTTAATTCAAATAATGTTCTTTTATTTAGAATCCTTTTTTTCAAACCATTTTATTTTATAAAAAAAAACTTGTCATTTATTTCAAAAAAACTCAAAAAAATGGTTTTAAATTTTTATTTAGTATGTTGTTTAATATTTTCCTTAAATATTTACCTAAGAGTAAATGTTATTTGTGAGTTCTTCTATCTTGGATAAATTGCTAAACTTTTGTCCATAACTTTTACTTGATAAATCTTGAATCCAATCACTAAATGCTTGTTAAAGTCTTGAACAAATTTATCCCTTGTTTGATTTATTATATAGTTGTTGGATTTTGATATTAAAATTTGTCCTTTTATTGAATGCCATCTTTAATTTCATGATCATAACAATGATTCTTTATCTTGTATTGCCTCTTATGTTTATTTCCCTTAAGATTAATATGTTTTGATCTGTCTTTGACTACTTGGTCTTTATGCTCATGTCTATTCATTATTTACCTTGAATTATCTCAGGCCATGCTTATGCTATTGTTGTTATACTTATGTTATTCTTGTTCTTATCCACCTTACATCAATATCTTTTATCTTAATCCTTACAACTGTTAGTACCCCCCACCCCAAAGGAAGGCTATTAAAATTGACTCTTAAAGTCATATCCCCCATCTACCCTAGGAAAACCTTTAGGAAGATGCCTTACTTTCTTGACTTTACCAAAGTCACACAAGTTTCAACTAGCCTTAGGAGAGAGTCTCATAACTCTCAGTGATATTCATTACAATGAATCATCACTCCACCCTACTAACTAAACAGAATTGTAGGTCCATCTCAACTAGACTTAGGGAGTTTTCAAACTCTATAATGAGCTCACACTCATTTCCCTCTGAATATTGACCACAACCAATCATTCAATAGAAACAGAACTACGCGTACTCTGATTCTATACCCGAGGATACGTAGGCAAAAGTGTGATGCTTTATCGAGTACCCTTAGATACTAACCCCTAGGGTTTCAAACTATTAAACATACAACAGTTAACAAAACATAGGATAACATAAAAGCAAGAGGTTCCTGTAGAGTACTACAGATGTTGAGGGTGCTGATACCTTCCCTCAATATAACCAACCCCCGAACCTTAGATCTCTCCCCTTAGGTTTTTTAACGATATTGAACCTTTCCTTTGGATAAATCAAAGTCGGTTGTAAAGGAAAAAAGATGCAAATTGATTAATAATTTGTTATCCAATTTTCACCGCAATAGTCGGGATGTCAAACTCTTTCACCAACCCAAAGTCCAATATTCAATTGGCAATTACCCAAAAGACCACATCCATTGGCACCTTCAAGTTTACCCTTCAAAGTCTAGTTTTCATTGGAAACCAATAAAAGTCCACTGCTATACGCTAACCCATAACACATAAAAGTCTAGAATTTGGCAAACACAAAAATAACCAAAAGTTCAGTTCCAATTGGCGGCTTCCAAATTAATCCCTGGTGACACCCTTAACACAAGGAAACCTATCCCTAGCATGTCCAATCATTTGCATTGTCATATGCACGACATGTTAGTGTAGTGCCAAATTCAATAATATCAAGCATTAACATATCTGGGGAATTCATACTTGCTGTAGATTCCCCAATAGTTGCATTTTAATATATGTCTTAGTGCATCATGTAATGCATGACATGTCCATCAACATATCATAATAGGATCTAAGATCGATTTTCAAGTATCTTGTCCAACTCTTCTTCAAAGTCGACAGTTTTCTTCTAAAAGACGTTGATCCCTAGTGAAGTCGCCACGTGCTCTTGGAATTCTATTCCCCAACAAGCCATCCTTCAACCATACAACCAACAATGACAATCCCCAGCGACTATTATTGTTCTTACTCCCCAAGTAGAGGATATCCTAGAAAATTTCTTGTGAGTGGCCTCTGCAAAGCTAGCACATTTCCTTCAACAGAGATCTTGCTCAACTATTCTTCAATCAACTTACCACAGAGATACTGCTTTGGTCTCGTTGAAGAACCTTAACGGATAAGGTAATGCTTCAATGTTTCAGAGAATCTTCTTCTTCCAAAGATACTGCTTTGGTATCATTGAGGAACCTTAACGGATAAGGTACTGCTTCAATGTTCCAGAGAATCTTCTGCTTCCAAAGATACTGCTTTGGTATCATTGAGGAACCTTAATGGATAAGGTATTGCTTCAATTTTTCAGAGAATCTTCTGCTTCCAAAGATACTGCTTTGGTATCATTAAGGAACCTTAATGGATAAGGTACTGCTTCAAAGTTCCAGAGAATCTTCTGCTTCCAAAGATACCATTTTGGTATCATTGAGGAACCTTAACAGATAAGGTACTGCTTCAAAGTTCCAGAGAATCTTCTGCTTCTAAGGATACCGCTTTGGTATCATTGAGGAACCTTAACGGATAAGGTACTGCTTCAATATTCTAGAGAATCTTCTACTTCTAAAGATACCGCTTTGGTATCATTGAGGAACCTTAACGGATAAGGTACTGCTTCAATTTTCCAGAGAATCTTCTGCTTCCAAAGATACTGGTTTGGTATCGTTGAGGAACCTTAACGAATAAGGTACTTCTTCAATGTTCCAGAGAATCTTCTTCTTCCAAAGATACTGCTTTGGTATCATCGAGGAACCTTAACGGACAAGGTACTTCTTCAATGTTTCAAAGAATCGTCTGCTTCTAAAGATATTGTTTTGGTATCATCGAGGAACCTTAATGGATAAGGGACTGCTTCGATCATTTAAGGAGCTTCAGGTTATTTTGTTCAACTTAAATGTTGTTGTTTCGTTCGGTCAACTATCACTCTACATCATTTTATCTTCTTGTCGGAAAATTTTTGGGGTCTTCTTATATTTAATTGACTTCTACCCTCGTAATAAATATCATACAACAATTCATTATCTCGGTTTCAAGACAATTAGATAGGGGCATCTGTCATACCCCAAATTTGTTCTACCTATGTATAATTGCCATCTGTACATCCATCCACTAACCATATTCAAAAAATATATTGTTGCTGGTTGTTGTAACATTTGAGGTTCATTGGTTAGACAAGTTTGATCAAGGTCTTGTGGTGATTGATTCACAAAATATGTGTGAAACTTCAATCAGGGTTTGTATCAGGCAGTTTACATGTATGTTGATTAAGTTGTCGTACGGTGGTTCATTAACCTTTGGGCCAGGATCATCTAAAAGTCTAAGTCATTGGAGTTTTGTGTGCTTAAAGTGATTATGAGTTTCTGTCAAAATATTTGATTCAAGTGGAGATAAACGAGGGATATGTTATATTTTAGACAATTATTTATTCAAGACAATATTATTCCTCTTCGAGCCATAAGCCAAGATGGTGTGATTGGGAAATTCCAGCAGAGGTTGATCTTGGGCCATAATATAATAGGGTTATTCACCGGGCATGTTTGTTTTTTTATCCAAATTTTGCATTGTTTACAAGATTAGTGGATAATTCATCCAAGAAGTTCATGACAAAATCATTTGATAAGTAAGGAATATGTTCAAGTGTATGGTTGGAGGATGTTTATAAGTAATGAGGGGAGTCACAATTAAATTATCAAGTATTTTTAAAATATTATTGGTTGATTAAGTTGCTTCATTTTTTAAGTCATGCTTTCACAATATGAGGCTGTGTTTAAAAGCAAGTTTTGTCCAAGGTGTCCTATAAGATAGTGTTGTATTGGTAGTGACAAGTCAAAGACGTTTTTTTGAATTCATAAGTGGTGATAACATTGGAAATGCAATTCAAGTTGTTAAGGTTTAAGGTCCAAGTCGTTTCAAGTTGGAAATACATTTGGTCAAACTATTAAAGATGGTAAATTCAAAGCAAGAAGGATTGTTCATTTAATTCAACTTCATGTTACAAGTCACAAAATTATTGTATGCTACAAGCTTAAATCACAAATGGGCTCAATTTGATCCTAAGGCCACATTCTATTGACATTTGATACAAAGATTATTAATAAGGCCTCTCACCAATGTGAATTCAAGTTCATGAGACCTACAAGCTACAAAACCAAAATTATACCTCAATTCTACAGGGCCTAAGTAATAAATTCTTTACAAATTCTACATGACAAACATGCTAAAATCCCTCCATTTCATGACCTCCGTGTTCAGGTCTTATTTTTGCCAAGATCTTTATGCCAATTTTCCAAGCTAAACCGTGATTCCGTTACACACACAAACCTGCATAACCATACCTCATCATAACCTACATCCAATATACTCGATTCTCACCTACAGTCAGGAATCAAACTAGCCCACATCTGTCAACACACACTTTCATAAGCCATAACTGCAACAGAAAAAACAGCCATAATGATGAGCAGACAAGAATTAAACGTTTTTTCAATGCATTAAACATCTGATTAGTCTGTCAACCGCCTACAACATTGCTACACTCATGTATGTTGAAAAAGGATTGGTTTAAAGAAGCGCATAACCTAATTCTTATTTCATTTTTGAAGCCTGATAATTTGGTAGTATTTATAACACTACAAGTACCCTAATCTATCTCCATGCATACTAGTTGCACTAGTTGTTAACTTGCTTGACCTGAAATTTGGAGAAACCTGAGAATTCATCACTGCAAGATGTCTTACCCAAACTAAAATATGCTTAAGAATCGGAGCCGTACCATGTTTTCATGAATTCATCTATCATATAAGGCTATTGTGTATGAGCGAAGTTAGATTTGAGCAAATTCCTCCACTTGTCCTACAAAGCAAAAAAATGTATTAAATGTATGTAGGTGCAATGCAAAGATCAAAATCTAGCATTGTAAGTTTAACATGATCAAAAGTCAACGATATATGGATTTATTAATGAGTACCTTGAGATCAACAGAGGTACGATATGAGTATGAGGAAAAGGATTGCCGTTTGATCTCAGACCACTTCCCTGGTCCACAACGTGACACACCTTCAATCAATTTCGTTACCTCAACAAGGGTCCATGCTCGATGATGTTTCCTCCTCATTCCACCTTTAACAGCGGGAACAATTACCATGTTGTTCTCTGCAGTATGACTGGGTGAATTGATCTTTTTTTTTGTCTCAATTCCGGCCTTGGTTCAGTTGTGCTGATTACTAGACACTGCTTCTCTCTTCCACATTCAGAAGTACACTGAGAAAGACACCAAACCACAAAAAATGATTAAAAGAGGAAGATTGATATGTTTGATGATGCACAAGTATTCTGCTTCCAATCAAACACACGGAAGGACTGCATAATATGTACACTCAAAAATATTTTCCCACAGATGCATCAAAGCATTCATAATTAATTCACCATCAGAAACATTGCAATAGCAATTCCCTTAGCCACCACATTGAACTTATGTGTTAAATAAATGATATATATACAAGCAAAATTCATAACAAAATTCATAGATGTTCAGAAAGTCTCTAAATCAACAAAAGCCACATCAGCAGGTCAAAAGCAATAGAAATCAAGTTTTTACATGCAGTGAAAATTCAAACGAAACACTCACTCCAGACAAATCCTAAGGGAATTACTCTTTGAGGACCCCACGCAAAGTTCACACACAAAAATCCCAGAAAATTAGGGTAGTGGAAATGGTTCTAACGGTTTATCCCCTCAAAACACACCTCATCATTCCTGACACGATTTTCACTCTTCTCACACGTACCAATTTGAATTGATATAAAACCTACAATATTCACACACAAAAGGGGGGACCTAAGAAAAACCATCAAAGAGCACAGAAGAAAAATTACCAGAAAATTCCTAAGCCCTAAATCATCAAAGCTCTAAAATAAATCAAAATTACTCAGAGTTTCACATTAAAACTCTGAGCTAATTCGAACTAGACCACTCCCTCATCCTCACTCGCAGAGAATCAACTTACGTTTTCACACAGAAGGAGAAGAAGGAAAGCCAATAGAAAGAAAAGAAGATCGAAAAGAGGTTACCTGGACGCAAGTTAAAGTTCCTTAGAAGTTTCTTTAAAAGGTATACTGGCCGGTAGGACCATTTATTCCAATCGCATGCGTGCATCCCCCAAAACCTTACCATGCACCCATTTTCCCACTGTCCGATCAGAGTCAAAGTTGACTCGTTTGATCACATAAACGCCCAATATGCGTTCAGAGGGTCAACTAAGTTGACCGAGGGAGCACCGTAGACTCCCTCCCTGCGTGGGCCACACACAACTTGGGTCTGGTTTGATTTCTAATTACACCCCCTGTTTTTTGGTTTCTTGGCCCATTTTAATTTTATTTTATTTGTTTTCTCTTCTAATATAACTTTTTATGAAAAATCTAAAAAACACATTTTATTTATGTCCTTTTTAAAAAAAAGATAAACCAATGAAATGTCATTACTAAATTAATTTAATTATTATTTTTATTTAATGTTAATTAATCTTTTATGATTAATTTCATTAAATATTAAATTTTAGTTTGATTAATTATTAACTTGATTTAAATTCTTAAAAAAATCCAAACAACACTTTTATCTAATAAATTCTCAAAATTTATTTAATTAGTTTTATTAAATTATTTTATTTAATATTAATTATTTTTTGATAATTAATTTTATTAAATATTTTAATTTAATTTAATTAATTATTTTGACTTTTATTTTAATTCTAAAACACTTAGAATTTATTTAGGATTTCTCCTTTAAACTAGCCTTAGAACTAGGTGACTAACTGTTGCTCCCTAGGATTTTCATCCATGGTACAAACGCGAAAGTGGCGCGGAAACAGAGTCGCCAGCAATGTGTATTAATCTAAAGAGAGGGAAAGGAAACACCGCATAAACCTGAGGGAAAAGTGGATAAAAGCATGGTCTTTGCGACCAAGAGAAGTGGGTAAGGGAGTCGATTATGCGAGAGGAAGGTATTAACACCCTCACGCGTCCATCATACTCGATGAGATCCACGCTTGCTTTTTTGATAATGGTGTGAAGAAATGAATTACTGTAAAGGAAACTGGATATGAAAAGTATAAAGGAAACAAAGGGGGTAAGAAAGAATTTGACTCGATTAGGACATATTCGATGTCCTAGGCCTACGTATCTCAACAGGGATGAGAATAAGAGCCAACGTAGTTCGACACTACGGGGAAAATTTGCTCGTTGAGATATTGCATCTCATGCCTACGTATCTTAAATCTAGTCAGATAGAAGAATCCGAGTTGTCGTAGTTCAGCTCAACGATCGTGGCCTTTATTTGAGTTTTTTAGTGGAAACGTCACGACGCACGTTCTAGCAGTTTAGGTGTTGCGGCTCGTTGTGGGAGACTTAAGCATTACCTGTCTACAATAGAACGGACGCGACGAGTCCTTAAGGTTGAATTGAGTGAGATGAGAAAAGAACTGTTTGTTTGTTTGTTTTTGTATTAGAAGTCTTTTACTTGAGAGTTTGCATAGGAGAGTGTATTCAAGTCTTTGTTATTGGAGTGTGTACTTCCCACATCACCCCAAGACGGAATGAGCAAAAAGCACACTAAATATGAGGAAGACCCTCACATCTATTTCCAAATATTAAGGCTCAAGCACAATAGCCTATTTGTCTTTATTAAGTGTTTATGTTGATTATGGAATGAAGAAGTGTTTTTGAATATTTTTTATGTAACATATATTGCATTTAAGTCCCTCATATAAGATTGAATGCCTCGCATATCGACCCAAGATGGGAAGCATACTAAACATTTTAAGAAGGTAAGAGAAGACCCCTTACAATCTCATTCTTACATGAAAGGCCTAAATGCAATAAGTGTTTGCCTTTATTAAGATGTTATGAATTGATTTTGAGATAAGAGGTGAAAGACTCAAATGGGTACAAAGGTAAAGGTCTAAGGGAACTAAGACTCAATTCTAAGTATTGATTATTCATGGTTGATCCTATGGTTAGTGAGGTATCAAAACTAAGTCTGAAGAAAGAAAATAGAATACAACTTACTTCTTAAAAGAAGTTAAGTTGATTCTAAAAGGAATGAAGAAGAATTATGAACATAAAGCATCATGGAATGCTTAATCAAAACACAAAAATGAAATGTAAAAGATGAAGGAAGAAGTTTGAATGTGGAAGCCTATCCACATCCAATTTAACTTACCATAGCCCCTACATGGTTAGTAACATTATTTACAATCAATATACAAGATGTAAAGAACACCTAAACATGTTAAAGCTTGAAGAAGTAAGAGGGAAATTCAAATCAAACACATCAAGGCCAGAATATACACATTGAGAATGATCTATAATGTTCACTAAACTAAACCAAGTGAAAAGGACTCAAACCATTACCAAACAATCAAACTTATCATAAAAGAAAAGAGAGATGAAAGATGGATGAATAAAAAAACAATCATGCACAAATGGCTCAATTGAAACCAAAGTCAGAACCTAAAACATGATAGAATAGTCTTACAAAACCCATGAAGCTTCATATGAAACATACAAGTAATGATGTGAGAAGATTAGGGGAGGAGAGGTAGAAATTATCATGAGAAACATACAACATATGTCAAGTTAAGATGCATTAATTCAAACCAAAACAAAATCATATGACAAATGACCTATAACCTTTCAAAAGTTCCCTATAATAGCATACAAATGACCTATAATTTGCACACAAAAGTTCACAAAAGATTGCAAAAAAAAAGGCACCAAAATAAAGTAAGATGAAGTGGAAGTAATGCACTAAATTGCTTCACTTGTAAAGCATCAAAGAAAAATCAAATCACATGAGAAAAAAATATGTACAAATGATTCTAACCAAGCCAAGTCAGAAATGGATCATATGCTAACACTCATGTTGAAAATCAATGCAACAAATATCTAAACACATTCAAAAAACCTTATTGAAATGCAATACAAAAATGGAATAAAAATGAGCATCAAAATACAATATAAATCGACTTAAAAAATAAAACAAAAAATGGTTATATAACCTTCAATGTGTGCTTTGATCAATGCAAAAAGAATGGATACAAACTTTTGTGCAAAATGAGAGAACAAAATTCTTAAAGTTCAAGTATCAATTGAAATGAACATCTAAAAAGAAATTAGAAATTAATTGCAAAATAATGTGCAAAAATTAATAAAATCAGAATTAAAAAATATCAAAAATTATTTAAACGTGTAAATGGGCTATGTGAGTTTTTATGGAATTTTTGAATGTATTTTACTATTTTTAAAAATAAAAAATGAAAACAATATGAAATGAGAAATTATAAATGAAATGTAAATAGCCAGGGGGTGTAGCGTTAGCAAAATCCACGTACAACTTGTTTGGGCTTCAAAAGGATGGGGTGTGAATAGCCATCTGAGATTCATCCCAGAAGACACATGTGGAGTATGGTAGTTATGTGGACTTCAGTCAAATAATTGACTCCACCAGGACCACACGATTAAGTCCAAGTCAAATAATATTCAAAGTACGCACATCTAACACATCACAACACTAGCACATGATAGCAACAATGTACGCACACTTACGCAAGAAGTCAAGGTCAACCACTCTGAGTTAGTGAAGTCACGTGAGAGGGAGGGTATTCATTTATGCGCTGGCACACTCGTGAGCGTTGGATCAAATGCATTGTGTGGTTATGTTTTAAACTAAGGAAGTGGCTAGGGTTTTGACCTGAGTGATTTTCAGGTGGCCGGAGAAGACTCCGGTCATCTTCTCCGGCGAGTCACCACCGTGGCTACATTTTCAAGTCAACCAAAATACATGTATCTTATATCAAATTCAAGCTGAAGTTAAGAGGAATCCAAATCCAACTTAAAAAATGACAAACAACAAACACTTAGAGAAAATCAAAGAGAGAAAGACCTGCCCTAATTTTACACTATGCACTTAAAGTGCCTATCAACTAGCCAGGGATGTTCCTGAGCTTATAGGAAGCTCAAAGAACAAAATCACATGATCTAAATGAGTCTATAATGGAAGAAATCTTAACCTGAAGTTTGATGATCTGAATTGCAACTTGAGAAAACCAGAGATTCCTTGAGATCTTTGCAATGTTTTAGCCAAATAAAG